ACTCTTTTGTATTTTCAAAAATATTGTACAAAAATCCCTAAAAAAGTATTGTATGAAATGTTTTCTAAAACACAATAGGTTGATGAGTTTTTAAATTATGTGGGAGAATTGTACATTATATTTAAATTACAAGTAAGTTAGGACTAATTTTGCCTTATATTTTTATATACATCATCATAAATATAGAGTATAAAATTATTCTTGACAAATGACAACGAGGGAATATTTTTATAAAAATAATAAGATAAAATAGCATAAAATCTATTGTAGTTTGCTGAAAACCTCACATGATCCGAAATTTTCATAAAATCTACTTATAATTTTTATAACGTTGCACACTCATCATTCCTTTCAAACCGTACTGACGGTGTTAAACATTTACATAAACTGACAGTTACGCCCCTATCTTAATTCTAAATTAAATCTCAAAATTAAACTTTAATCTCAAATTAAATTCTCAAATCCACATCTTTCTATCTCTCTCTATAGTAACCCTCTTTCTCACCGACGCCATCGCCTCCCCCTTTCTCTCTCTGCCAACTCGCGCCGTCCACCGCGCACCAGCAGCCACCAACCACCACCCACCGGCGTCATCTTTTTCTTTCTCCACCACCGTGAGCTCCACCCTTCTCCGCCGATTTTAGTCACATCCAGCGGCGGAACCAGAACTCAAATAAGGGGGCGGAGGGGGGGGGGGAGGGCTAATTTTTCTTTTGAATATTCGATATACTGAAAAATTGGTACGATAAATATATATACTGATACGTACCGAAATTTTAGTACAATATTGATGTATACTATTTTATACCCAAATACTAAAATTTAAAATATTAATTTTGGTATCAATATATTAAATTATTTGTATATACAAATATAATAAAAATATCAAATTATATATTATTACGTTACTAAAAAATTTCAATATGATATTTGATCAAGCCAAAAATTTTACTCCCTCCGTCCCACATACCATGTCTACGTTGCCGTTTCTGTCCGTCCCATATACCATGTCACTTTCATTTTTTGGAAAATGATTATACACTTTAATCTCATTTTAAAAACTTTTTAATTTTATTTTTTTAAAATTTTAATTAAACTAATTAGTTATCTTAATCTTAATTTATAATTATTTATATTATAGAATAATTATTTTTACTAATACATTCTTAATTATCTACTAATTACACTCCTCCTAAAATACCGTGTCTACAGTGTAGCAGACACGGTATGTGGGACGGAGGTAGTAATATACTAAAATTTCAGTATTTTTTAAAATAATTTTTATTAAATTTTTTAATACTTTTTTAATATATATAATTTTAAAATTATATAAATTATAATAAAAAAAAATTAAATGGGGGGCGGGCTGGAGCCTCCATGTAGTTACGCCACTGGTCACATGGCGCAGCTCCTTCCTCAGCCATGAATCGCCGGTGCCAGCCGCCACGCACCACGAGACCGACTGGGCATTCGGCCGCCTCTCCCTCCGCCATCCCAGCTGCCGCCGTTTTTCCTCCGGTTCGAGCTCCCCTGCCGCGCGCAGACCCACCCTCGACTCAGCCACCGCCGTCAAAGCCATGGAGGGCGGCGTCGCTATAATGAGATGCATTTCAATGTGAAAATCGTGTCCCCAAATTTCGAAGGTCTGAACCTTGTGAAACAACACCGTATGGTTTACGAACTCCTATCCAGCGAGCTCCAGTCCGGTTTGCACGCTATCTCCATCACCGCCGAGACTCACTACAAAAAAGTATCTAATTAGCTACAATATTTTTAATTATAAAATATTTTTATAGTTAAAATATGTCATTTAACAACAAAACTTAATTTAATAGCTAAAAATAAATTATGTATTACAAATTAATTTTGACGCTAAAATATTTTTGCTAGAAAATTCTATTTTCTAACAAATGAGTTTTAACTACAAAATTATTTTTTATAGTTAAAACTATTTGGCTAAAAAAATCATGCATATTTTGTTGCTAAAATTTTTTGTTATAAATTTTATTTTTATAGTAAAAAGCTTTAACTACGAAATCATATATTCATAACTATATCTTTTTTCTTAACTTTTATTGCAAAAAAATGTATTTTTTGTTACGCAAAAATATTTTTGCTATGAATTCATTACCTTTTGCTACGAAATATTTTGTAGCTAAATTTCAACTTTTTTTTTTTTTTTGGTGCTATTTAATTAAAAAAAAAACGGTTTCAAATAAATAAAATCTAAATTTGGATTATTTTTTTTTAATAAACAAGCCAAGCCAGACTAGGCTTTTTGGAGGGTATGGATCACATGTTGATCTGATCAAATTAGCACTGTATTGATTTGACCCGATCAACATGGGATCCGCGTCCCTTTTTGCAGGTTAGGCCACACGCCCGGGTACGCCGCCTAACATATTCTCACAGCTGGAGACAATATTTAGGCAAATTCATCGAGTGCTTAATGTTGTTAGATGTTTAGGCGTTAAGTAATTAGGTCAATTTAGAGTAATTTTATAGATGCTCAAAAATATCTTATGGATGAAATTCGTTATTAGCCATATATATTTTCTAAATTGCATCAAGCCAATAGATGGACGCACAGTGAAATTCATACATCTGGGATAATAAGACACTATTTATTGGCCAGAAAGAAATAACAATTACAAATATTCTCGACATATGTAATCTTAATATGTGTTTCGTTGTTTGCAGAGGTCAATTATGAATAGTATATTTTTTTGGGGGAGAGAGGATTGAGGGGTGTTGTTTTAAAATCAGCGCCCATGCTAATAATATAAATATTATTTTCATGAAAAGCCTATTACGTTAGCTTTAATTAAAAGCCTATTACATGAAAACAAGATGGAAAACTTGCACACCTAAATTCTTGTACGTAGAATGGATTTAACAAAAATGAAAATAAAGTCACACTTGCATACCAGAAATGAAGTTGATTATTGGGGAAGAAAATGAGAGGATGTGTGAGAAGAAAAACTAAAGTACTTTGGTGATACGGGAGGATAACTGACCTGTCGCGCCGGTCAATCAATTGGGATTGTGTGATTCACTCTTTCGTGTTTTAATGGAGTAAATAAAAGAAGAATTTTCTTTTATTATCTAATGAAAATAAAATAACAAATGAATTAAATTAAGGGGAATGGAGTATGAAGAGGATGTCTCGCTCAAAGGATGATGCAATTATGGCACTTGTGTTTTATCATTAATTCAATAAAGTTAATTCTTATTAAAATCAATAAATTGGTTATAATTATCAACAAATCTAGGTGCGCCCATAAGAATATTGCCTAACCGCTTTGTAATCTAAAAAAACCCAATTCAAAACAACAATTAGATTTGATTGTCTAACCCCCGGGAAGGAACTATTCAACCCGGTTGTCACCTATTCAAGTGCGAATACAATTACAGATATCCTACCTGAATTGACTTTAGATTATCAGACTAATTTAAATATCGGTACCAAAATATTCAATCAATCTAATAATTACAAACGTTATTCTCAAAATTAGACAAATATTGATAATCAAAAAGAACTTTTATAAAGAAAATCAAGAATCTCCGAAACAAAATAACCAAAACATTATCACCCCTCAAATCAGAAAAGTATCTACTCCATAATCAAATAACAGAGAACAAAAGAGAAAGTTATAGTGGGAGGGGGAAATCCTGCGCGATCTATGAATCTGTCAGCGTTTCTGCCCTAGCCGTTCTCTCTTGCCAAATAGGCGTGTGTTCCCCTATCTTTTATTTAATTTTTGCCCTAATTATTTTGTAGATGAGCTTTTGGGCCTTTAGTTAATTTCTCATATCAAGAGGATGTAGTTAGTCATGGTCATGACTAGCTAGGTTGTGCAAATCTGAATTTTTCTTTCCTTTTTCTGTCAATTATGTCAAATTTAATATTTGCCTTTGCACACAGCAAATAAATAATTCACAATTTATCCAACAATAGACTCACTAAAGAAATCCAAAGTGTTCTTAGACAAAATGACTATCACTCAACTCATAGATCTTAAAGCAATATAGTTACTATTGATATCAGCAACACATTCACTTGTGAGAAACAACCTTGCCAAACGCTCCACGAGCCTTCACTTGCCGTGGCATTTTTCAATTTCCGTCTACATTCCTTCTCCACCTCGATTGAATTAATACACACGCCGACTTTCAACTACTCATAATACAAAACCAACCACTTGGTACCAACAAGTTTCCCAAATGCATAAAAGATAAAGGGTGACGAAAAAACTCAAACTCGTATAAGATTGGCTAAGACTATATTACAATTACATACTATATGAGTTATAACAAAAGTATCGAAGTGTCATATGGGATTTTTTTTATTTTTATTATTATTATTTTTTTCAAACGTGCCTTTTTCTGGATTTGAATTCATCCCACTAGAAATAGCAATTGAAGTCGACTTTTTCGACCCAAATCCAAACCCATACCGGATAAATAATGTAGTTATTTCTCTTTTTGGTAAGGTCCAATTTTCCTTTTACAAACACCCATATTGTATATATTATGGTTGTTGCTATATTAACCGAAACAAATCAATATCATGTTAATTTGTTGCAGTTCAACTCATGTACATCTGACATATAACATTTGATTTTATTAAACACAGTACTTGTTATATCGAGTAAAATAATTTTTTTGGATTCATATTAATATATGTGTTGTATAAATATATTTCCAGAGTTGAAATTAATAACTGTTTTTATTATATGATTATATTTGTAGAAGTTGAAATTAATAACTGTTTTTATTATATGATTATATTTGTAGAAGGTTTTGCAACAAGGTTACACCCTTATTTCCATATTTTTTTTTTGTTTTCATACTAAATTAAAAAATGATAATCATTTAATTAGTAAGTAAAAAGATAAGATGATTTTTTATATTTTTATGCATAAAAAATAAATATTTTTATAGTTACATACGAGAATATATATTTTTAAAAAATGAGAAGGTTTAGGTTTACACACAAACTTCCGTCTTCCACTATAAATCTGTAATTTCAATGGCGCTTCCGATTTCCCGCAGGCGACTTCACACTCCGTCTTCTTTTCTTCTTCACGAATCTTCGTAACTTCATCCATTGGCATCTTCTGCTACTATTTACACAGCACCATCAATTCTGTAAGTTCAGTTCCTCCCTTTTAAAACCTGTTTAATCTTATACGCGTAAAAAAGTACGAGAAATTTTCGATCATTCACTGCAATTTGCAATTTGGTTATTTTCGTGCTTGCTGTTTTGCTATTTCCATTCGAATTTGTTGTTTTACGGATTAAAGAGAAGCAATTGCGAATGTCTTCCAAGAATTTTGCGTGTTTACTGTTCTCTGTTTCTGGTATCAATTTGATCCGGTCGGGTCCAACCCGGATCCGGCTGGTTTTGGGCGGGCGGGTCCCGTGTCCGCCTCCGCCCCCGTTTCTACCCAGTGGGATAAAAACAAACATTTGACAAATGGATAGATATTTAAACAGTGAGGGTTTATTTGGTTTTAGCTTGATTTTGGTATTTTATTTGAATTTTTGGTTTAAATAGTATTACGATCATTTGGATTTGAAATTCAAACTTAGCACCCCATACCTTATAGATTTTAGCTTTTAGGTACTTTTGTTATTAGATATAGATGAATTCGTGAAATTGTGAAAATGTGAAAATGATGATTTTGTGTTTTTAGTTGGCATTTATTGTTATGCGTATATATTGTATTTTTTTGAATTCGTCTTATAGAAATAAAACATTGAACACATTCATTAAGTTTGTTCGGTTTAAAATTTTAAGTAAAAAAATGTGTTAGATGTAACATTTAAGGAAAACGGAAATGCATTGTCGAATGTCGATTTAATAGTAAGAAAATGGAAACGAAAACACAACTAACCATTTGAAAATAAAATCATTTTGGATTGCATACCTTAAGAGACATTAATCTAAAAAATGGCCAATTGTTGTTAAAGGTCATGTTTTAGCATGCATAAGTGTGAAAATTGCTACCTTTTTTGGTGAAAATTTACTTTGTAATCTTTATCTGCTTCGTTTTCATATGCTGCTGGATCTTTGCCATGATACTTTCGTGCAAAATGGCATTATTTTCAGTTGTTCGAAGATAAACTTGGAGCCTTGGCTTTGTTTTACCAAAACATCAAAATTCAACAAAAGCGAGGAAGCGGCTAATATGTAATGTCTCGTCAGCAATGTGTTTGCTCGATTCAGGTGATTCTACCAATTTTTATCTTGGGCATTAGATTCTACCGAACAAGTAAATAATTCAAACCCCATTAAGCTAGAGAAGCTAATGCTCGATAAAGCATTCTCTTTGGAAATTAGTGATCCCATTCACCTTTGAACTCGCCAATGTCAAATGGTACACGTAAGAGACGCTCTGAACTTACTAAACCGTCGACTTGGCTACTCAATTGCATAAACCATGATCCGATAAAAAATGTTATCCCAGTTGGCCCTCGTTTCCAAGTCAATGTTCCCAAATGGGAGGGCGCAATTAACAAAAGTCGTCTTCTTCTTGGATATAAATGGGATGATGATAATTCCAAGTGGTTGGGTTCCCGTGTTTGGCCAATTGGCTCTCGTAATATGACAACCACCGAGAAAGAAATTGGCGAGGGGAGGCCCAACTCATGTTCTTGCGCCCTCCCGGGATCGGTTGATTGCATCAAACATCATATATTGGAAAGAAGGCTACTTTTGAAGCGCGAGTTGGGGGGCGTATTTTTTACTTGGAAGTTTGATGAGATGGGTGAACGAGTTTCAAAGTCATGGTCGATGAAGGATCGCAAAACTTTTGAATCAATAGTTAAAATGAAGCCAACATCTGAGGGGAGGGACTTTGTGAGGCGTGCCTTGAGGCATTTTCCCAACAAATGCCGTAAAGGCATTGTTAGCTACTACTTTAATGTCTATGTTCCCGATCGTTTGAGTCTTCAAACAAGGCTGCCGTCCACGAAACAAGTGGACACTGATGATGAGGATGAGGTATTGGATTGTAAGTACTTGGGGATGAAGAAGAGATCCGAAAAAGGGAAGATGCTCAAGTCATAATTCGAAAAATATGAAATGCTCTCTATGATCGTAGAAAGGTGATGTAATACGATTTGTTTCCTAATCGGTATGTTCCATCCCTTCAAATTTTACTTCCAAAGCATGATTGCAATTTTATATATTGAGCCGCGATAGTTCCTTATGCTTTTATTTTTATGTCATTTTTCCTTGTTGTATTTTTCTATCTAGAAAAACATGCTCATGAATCATGAAATTGATAACGAATTGCAATCTTTGGTTATCTTGTGCTAAGCTTTATTTTAAACCTAGTCTTGATTTTGTCCTTACGCTTGTTTATAAAATTGCATTGCGCTTCGAGTAAGTCAACGTGACTTTTGGGTTCTTTCTTCTAAGCTTATAAATGGATCGATTCTTTTGCGCAATGAAATGGATTTAGATGATATTTGGATTTTGACGACTCTACATTTAATTATACATTCTTATTGTGATGATAGTTCTTAGAAATTCTTTCAATTGGCCTTCTCGTTGCCGAATGGTTTGTTATTCATTGCTTATTGCTCGTCTTTCCTTTGTCACAATAGTTCTTTTTCTTGATTATTTGGCTAGGTATACGATTGATGACATGTGTTTCACCACGGATAGCTTCGCAACAAAATTTTGTGAGAATGTTACCTTGGAATGGAGGGCACGATCAACAAGTGACCGTGTTAGTGTTCAACAATGGTATTTTGTGTGAGGCGGCGACATAGTTTTATTGATGAATAGTGCTAGTATTGGCAAAGAAGGTGTTGAATTAATTTCACCACCGGTATCTTATCGAATTATTTGAATGTGACTTTGAAATTGATTAAGAAACAAAATTGTGAAATGAAATTGGGCGCAATGTGAGTTTGATTTCGCGTGGAAGTTCATAAAGGATCAACGAGGAAGAAAATGCATTTCTTGCCATGTCTTGATCATACATCCAATGTTCAATGTGTGGCTCCTTACAATCTATACAATTTTGCCAAAAAGAAACTCATGATCGATCAAGCACAGCTTTTTTAGGTTTCGATTTATGATATTTGTAATCGGTCTTTAAAGATCTAGTACCGTGTGTTCTTGTAGGAACTTTGATCTCTTTAAATGACCCAATATTGGGATCTAGATGCATTCTTTATTTCCTTTTTTTTGTTCGCATTCCCCTTATGCCGTAGACCTAATCATTCATCCACAAACACGTTCTGTGCAGCCTAACAACTTCTAACTAAAACTTGAAAATGGTACTAATATAACCTTTACTCAAATCTTGAAAACCAAACAAGCATACAATAGAGCATGGGAGAAAACTATCTATTATTCAAGAACTCGGATTTCATATAAATAAAGATTGAATAGCTTCGTGCGATTGCTTGCGCTAAGTTTTACAATCCTCGTCTAATTTGGACTTGGTTTGATATTCGATGTATTTTAGTTGTTTTATCGGGACATATGGGATACAATGGGGCATATGTTGTCCGCATAAATTCATATCGCTAGCCCGGATGCTCCAACCCAATAGTATAGTTGTGTTTTTTGTGGGTTTGATAGAAGTTTTTACTATTCAAATTCTTCTTTCTCTTAAAAAATATCACATCAAACAATTCTTTTTTTTATATTATATTACAAATTTATTTTATATTAAAAAAATCACATAAATATATATTCATATAATATCAAATAACTATTCAAATTTAATTTTTTACTATTCAAAAATCTAAACCCAAAATCTCAAATCCACAAACAAATATTTAAAATTATGTTTAATCATGTAGATTATATCGTTATTTAAGTTACAACCAAACATCTTGTTATTATAAAATCGAACTTCCAACTTGGAACGAAACATACTCTAAAATTGTGATACCAATTTTTACCATCCAAGGCAAAATTCTACAAAAATGAATTTTGAATACTATCGATGTTCCACCTATTTTGTTCTATTTATTACTCCATCCGTTCCAAACAAGGTGCTACATTTAAGTTGGGCACGAGATTTTAGGTGAGAAGTATTAAGTAGGATAATTGAGTAATTAAGTGATGTGATGAAGAGAGAAGTGTATATATATATTTTTATTATTAGAGTGATGTGATAGGATAAAATGTGGGGATATAGATTAAATATAATTAATTATTTCCTAATTTAGAAATATTGCAGAGTGTTTAGACATATCAAAAATTAAATGTTGCACAGTGTTTGAGACGGATGGAGTACTATTTAGGATTCTCTCACCTAAATAGTCACTTTTCATTTATATTTTAGGCAAAATAGCGAAAAAAACCCCTGTGGTTTTTCGAAATTGCTGAAAACTCCTCGTGGTTCTAAAACTCCAAAAACCTACTTGTGGTTTCCAAAATGTTGCAAAAAATTCTCCATCCAAAATGTTGCAAAAAATCCCTCATCCGTTAGGATTTAACAGCAGTTGTATATCACGCGCCTGAAATGCGATTTTTGGTCCATAAAGTGATATATTTTTGTGTAAAATTATTAAAATACCCTCATTCTTCTTCTTCCTCATTCTTCTACTTCCTTATTCTTCTTCTTTCTTATTGTTATCCATACTTTCAGAATTTAATCTCAATTCATTTTTTTTTATTTAAAATCTGCTAAACACAACCAAATTTGAAACCGATCCCAAATTTATCACAATTAATCAACCAGACATGGATCTTCTTCTATTTTACCAAACCCAAAAATATTTCTTCTTGTGTTTACAAGACGCAGAAACATTCTTCTTTTGTTTTAGCAAACCCAAAAATTTAAGAAATCAATTTGACATCAAGATTTGAAATCAATCTATAAAGAAAGAAAGAACATGCTGCTGGTGGTTGCAACGGCGTACGGAAGAATTTGGGAGAAAAAAATAAAGAAAAAAGAAAATTGGAGAAAAAGAGATAGAGAAATAAGAAAGAAAAACCTGCTTGCTTCTAGTTGCAACGACGTACGGAAGAATTGGAGAGAAAAAATAAAGAAGAAAGAAAATTGAGGAAAAAAAAAAAATTGGAGAAAAAAAAAAACTGGTGTCCAACCCCTTCTTTCTCCTCTTCTTCTTTTCCTTCTCTTCTTTCTTCTCTTTCTTTTCTTCATTCCTTCTTTCTTCCCTACTCCAGCCGCTTATGCCCGTCATCTTCTTTCTATTCTTATTATTTTTCAATTCTTCATTCTTCAAAGAAGAATTGGAGATGAAGAAGAAAAAAAAAAGAAATTAGGGGAAAAAGAAGAAAAGAAAGAACCGGGTGGAAACTGCGGCGTGAAAAAGAATTAGAGAAAAAGAAAAAAGAATTGAGGAAAAAGATGTGTGAAAAGAATTTGGGGAAGAAAAGAAGATGGAAGAAAGAAGTTAGGGGAGAAGAGAAGAAAATGAACAGAAAAAGAAAGAACAAAAGAAGAGAGAGAAATAAATTAAAAAATATATAAGTAAGGGTATAACTGTCAAATTTGATAAAAATTTAACAGTCTGTTAGTCAAATTTAAAGAGGGGGGAGAGTGTGCAACATTTTGGAAAGCACAAGTAGGTTTTTTGGAATTTTAGAACCACCGGGGGGTTTTCGGCGAATTTGTAAAACCACATTGTGATTTTTTACTATTTTGCCTATAATTTTATATTACCTACTCAATTATCAGTTATTTTTACCTTTATTTACCTAAATATCATTTTACTCTTTACTTTCCTTTAACTAAATATTTTTCATCTTACACAAACTTATTCATTGTTATAATGCTCCTTTTGTCCTGTTTGAAGGAACACATTTATTTATTTATTTATTTTTATGTGTTAGATATTTGAATATTAATTATTATATCAAAACATAGTACAAATTAAGGGAAAAAATGGCAAAAGTATTTCTATTAGTATTTTATAATACTAATACACTGATATTTATAAAAAAAAAATAAAATATACAAACATAAGAATATTTTTAATGTTAAATACAATGACGTAAAAGATAAATGTAATCATTAGAGACGGACAGATGTAGTACATCTTTTTAAAATCTACCGTAAAAACTTTCTAAAACAAGCATCCCGTTCTTTTTGTTTTGTATTTATTTTTTAAATTTTCCACCTTTGAATCATGTAGTTATTCAATTTCTTTCGAATTCCAATTTAATTGTTTCATTCGGCACACCTTTATTTATCAACTTTCCATAGCTATAATTTTCAATTTTAAACATTTTATCATGAGATCAATAGTGGGCTTTTTGGATTGCCTCGAGACCTTAATAGTTCGATAGTAATTGGCCTCAATTTTGAAATTTAAGCTATTAAAAGATGGTTAATAATTTACATGTCACTTCAATCTTTTTACTATTCAACCTTCAAATTTCCTCTGAAAATACATTATTCTTTCTAATAAAATATTAAATGAAAATATTATTTAAACCAAACACAAAACCCAAAACAAAATACAAAAAGAACACATCTATTTTATATCTCAAACAAACCTTCAAACGATGAAGAACTTCGACATGATAACATTGCAAAAAAGGCTAAATGTAAATTTAATTTTCTAAGGATAAAAAGTGTAAACACAAAGTTTACCGTTGTAAAATTATTTTTCTAATGTTTTCATATTCAAAGTAAACTAATGCCTATTAAAGATGATTGACAAATTCTTTCGATTGAGCCAATATGACGCAGCCGTCCAAGCTCTAAAATAGAAAAAATTATTGAAGATGAACTTGCAAAACATTACAATTTTTTTGTATCCGACTCAAAGGTCACCCAACCAAGTCATCACGAGGTCAGAATCACAAGAACCGGGACTTCAAGACTAAGCCAACAAGTTACCTTATTATATAATATATTTTATTATAATTTTTCATATAGTATAATTTCATATATATAAATTTTCTTATTATTTGTTTCCTTGCGGACTTACCTTTACATTTATTTCATATACTACTTGTTGTCTTTTATTTTCCTTAAGACCTATATACAATATCATTGCCTACTATTTTTTTTTTTTTTTATGACGTGGGAACCCAGCCGCTACCCAAAAGTGCGCATTGGGTACCTCGGCCGAACCTAATACCTTGCAAACTAGGCCCGACAGGCAAGTCACACTAAGCGAACCATGTGTGACAAGTAACCTGAGGCGTTGGGGGTTTGAACCCATGATCTTGAATAAAATTTCTTTATTGTTCATCTTAATATTTGTCTAGTGCTAGAATGTGATTTCTCTCACTTAAATATTTCAAATTGGGTTTTCGAAGTGATTCATCGGTCTGTGGCTTCCAATCATTTGCAGTGGGATTTAGCCTATTGTTTGTGTTTTAACATATGATTTTGATTTCAAGCCCGAGACTTATTCTCGTAGTTTGGTTATCATCCATGTTAATTCACATTTTATGCACTATCTTTCTTTTTCATTATCTCTTCTTTCATCCATATTTTGAATCCATTGGTTATATTGAACTTTATAATTAAAGAAATTATTATGAGCATAATTATACACAGTCTGGTCGTATCACAATTAGAAGGTGAAAGTAGAAAGAAAGATGGCATAGCAATAAATGTATAAAGAAAAAGAAGATACATAATAAATGAACCTGTCATACATGGTTCGTCTAGTGTGACTTGCCTTGTCGGGCGTAGTTTGCAGAGTAGTAGGTTGAGCCGGGGGTTTACCCAAAACACACTTGTCGAGTAGCGGTTGCGAGTTTCCATATTATCAAAAAAATAAAATAAAAAATTCTCAGAACAACTCGTGACCGTGAGGTCATGAGTTCAAACCCCAATGCCTTCAGATTTTCCATGCACATGATTCTCATAGTGCGACTTGACTTGTCGGGACTAGTTTGCAGGCTATTAGATTCGGCCGGAGTTTACCCAGTGCGCACTTTCGGGTAGCAACTGTGGGTTCCTACGTTATAAAAAAAATTATTCCAATGTTTGTTTCTTTAAAATTGTCATATAAAATATTTTTAGATGAGAATTGAAGTTCATAAAATGAGATGAAAATTTTAATTTAATTATCCCTTTCTAATATGTATCCGTTTATTTTATCTACCTAGATTTAAAAATATTAATCTCCCGGTCATTCAAATGTTTACTTTTTTAAAATTGTCATAAAAAATATTTTAGTTTATCTATTTCGTA